TCAATTGGATCTGCAATTCAATACTACAAGAGCAGAGTTTAGATCAAAATGCAATTTTCTTCAAACGCCCTGGGCAAACACTCACTTACTCGACTGTTAAACAGATTGAGCCGCAAGTCGGGAAACTTTGCAATTGTAATCACAAGTGGTATAGAGAAGTAAGGGAGAAAACTAGGGGTATCATGTACATGAATTATGCAGATAAACATGCACTGGATAAAAGGTTACTTCTTTTCTCCTCCTTCACAAAATCTGAGCCTCCAATACAGACTATATAAAAAACCTCCATTACAATTAAAAATAAAAACTAGTGGATGAAAAGTGAAGCTAAAACAATTATCGAATGTAATGCTGATTTTCCACACAGCTATTTCAGTATCTAACGAAGACAACTGTAATATCAAATTCCACCACCACAGTTTACAAAACCATGTCTTAAAATACCTTCTTAGTATTGATTCTAAAGTTGTACACATAAAAGTAAAGCTCTCTCAGAAAACAGAAACCTAACTGAAAAACTTTTAGTAATTTATGTCAAGTTGTCATAGCAAGTCAGACCTAACTTTTAACAGATGATTAGAGAGTGTGTAAAATCAAAAAGTTATGTAAAGTTCCAGCTGAGGAGAAAGCAGTTGAAAACACGCCAAACATTTTCTTTCTAGGTAGTTTGATTTGTTATACAACATATTTACTTTTGTTAGTAGTAAACATAAACCAAAAAGCAAATAAAATTTATGTCACAATTATGTTAAACAGTATTCACCAGATATTCTGCATGAAAGCCAGTACTGGTTTTCTTTGAGGTTAAATAGGATTGACTAATTACAGACCAAATGCTCAAATTTCACTTACAATTTTTAGATCAGCAAAACAAGTAGTCCACAACAGTTGACTTTTGCATGTCTGCGTAAGGCAAACGAGACACCGCTTATTTTGGACTCAAATACGTATCCCTGGCCAACATGCAAAGCTATGCACAACTAGGGAATAAAACTTTATTCATGTCACCTAGTCAGCGATTAGATTGAGTGAGAAGCCGAATCCAGGTGCAACTATCTTAAGAGTCTTGGAACTACTCAAACAAATTCTCTGATTCTTGAAGCCTGCCCCAAGCAATGGAGTCCTTAGCAGATGATCCCTCCAGAAAATGATCTGCCATGGGATCCAGCAAAGTATTTTGCAGTCTTGTTAGAAGTGGTGCAGGGACAGAATCTGCTAGAGCAGGAAATATTTCCAGAATACAAATGCTTCGTAAGATGAGGAAGCTAACTCCTCCTTTTTTTTTTTTTTGAGGAAATATGGTTGTCATGCCAACAGTTACAGAACAGCAGGCTGCAGCGACAGCTAGTGATGAAGTCTGTTTAAGTCTTACAGCTTCCCTGGGAGGCTGTTACTGAACCACAGGTTGTTCGGGGCAGCAGCACAATCTCACTAAACACGGCATATGTCCATATGTTTGGCTTCTGTAATTATTTTGTCTCCTGCTTCCAAGCTCAGTTATACTTGACTTCCTAACAAGGAGGGAGCTGAGGTACTTGTTCAGTGTATACCCATGCATACAGATCCTCAAAGGACCTGCCATGACCTTAGACTCTTCAGTGTTGGATGCATCAGCAGACTAGTCGGAGTCTAACTGCAAAGGAGCAGATAGCTGATCTCCACAGTCCAGGCTGTGGCTGCTGACTGAGGCAAAACTCCTCAGAAGAGATCTAGTCAACTTCCCCAAGGTACATAAAGAAAAAGAGACAGCGGAGGACTGCATATTGATATTACAAAACCAATTAACTAGTCAGAAATGCAGTTTTACCCCAGAAAACCCCATGAGAAGATAGCTATAGAACTATAACAGCAGTCACAGCAAGAGAAAAAATGAGAGGGATCCCTTGCTGCTGGTAAACAAATCTCATTCTTCTGTAACACTGCCACAAAAATAGAATTATCTATAGTTACCTTTGGAGGGTGGCATGATACAGAACATAGGTAAAAAGGTGTCTTACGAATTCAAGTACCATTCTTAACTCAGAATTTACTGGTTCTTCTGTTTACCAGTTTTACTGATGTAAACAGTTCACTGCATTCAAGTCAACATGAAATGATTAATTCAAAGTTTTCATGCATTATGCATGATACTGTTATCTTACAAGTTACAGTGACAAAGCCACAAGATACAAATGCTTATAAACTATCTACTACATTTTATATGTTTATATAGTGAAAAGATTCCCTTGAAAATTTTGTACAAGATTATTATAACTTTTTCTACAGTCTTCCAGAAACACCATTACAGAAAAAGACAAACACTTAAATTCTCAAAAAAGACACAAAAGTAATGGTGGTGGGAAGCCAACCATGCGACAAAGAAAGAACTCTGTTTTACACACAGACACACACACACACAGAGAAAATAAGTTCATGAAAAAACTCAGAAAACTTGACTTAGATTTCAGCATCCACCCAACAGACAGGAGTTTTTATTCCGAACCTGCACAAGTAGTATTACACTATAAATAAAATTCCTCTGAATAAGAATCTAAAAAGTGTTAGTAGTTCCTATGCTTGCATGGGTTTCATCACACTCTCAAGTCCACCTGAAAGTGTAAGTTAAAATATGGATACAATAGAGTCACAGTGGTGACTGCACTGTGAAGCAACCTGACTTAGCTTTAACTTAGCTCATGTGACAGCATGCTTAACAACTCAATAGGGAGGAGAAGGAAGACCAATTTTCCTGAACAGAGTAACAAGCCATGTTGAAAAAGGAGTAGCATATGTATCATCTTGACTAACAAGGTTTCTGACCTAGCCTCACACAACAGTCTCAGATGCAAACAATGAAAACAATTACTATCAAGGCAACGAAGAACTGGTAAGAAATTGTTTTCAGATGGCTCTTCATCAAATGGTTCAGTGCTTTTCAGTGGTTTTAGTGTTTCTAGGAAGACACAATAGAAAGCATGCCAACTAAATCTCCAAAGAACACCAAGCTGACTAGAAGTTCACCTGAGGACAGGCTTAAAATTCATAATAATTTTGGTGAAGAAAACTTGGATATCATTCAAAAAGAGCATATGCTAAATCGTCTTACAAGGAAGGAAAGATCGACTATACAAAACATGATTCTGAAAAACTGGCCAGGAAGTAGATCCACAGAAAAGGATTAAGGGCTTATACTGGATCAAAAATTTAACATGAGTCAATACCTTTACTGTTAAGAAAATGAAATACTGGATTGTGAGGTGTAAGTATTCTAGAAGTTACACAAAAGAACTTTTCCTCCATATTCAAATGAGGATGCACCTGGAATTTTGATGCCTAGCTTTTGACCAAACTTGCAGAAAGACCTCAGTCACATGTAGAACAGCTAAGGGAAATCAGTGAAAGCAATAAAGAGATCTAGAAAATAGGAACTATGCGTAAAGACTGAATGAGCAGCAGTTGTTTCCCTGTTCAGTCAATTCTTAAGGTTAACAACTCTTCTATGACCTAAAGCAATGCTGAAAAAATGTAGCAGCCTGTTCTTCATGACCAGAGTGATTAGAACAAGTAGTAAGTAGCTTAAAATCCAACAAGAAAATTCATATAAAATACAAGAGAAGGTCAAATAGTTAAATATATTCCCCTGTGGACTTCTAAATTCAATGCTAGTGAAGGCCCTGAAGAACAGATCAGATGAACATCTATTACAAATGATTCAGGACTGACTGATTCTGCCCTGAGTAGGAAGATAGATGATTTTTTTTTACAGCTGCATTTTTGACAGTAAAGCACTTAACACAAATATCAGAGTCAACTCAAGACACAAAACATGCAAGCCGAAGCTAACTTCTATATTACCATAGCCAGAGTCATTCCATCATTAAAAATAATTATCTTAAAACGACCTTGAGTAGTTGTACACTATACAGGAAAGGACAGATGTTCAAGAATCCAGACGGAGTTGATGTTTCTAGGTCTTCTTTTTCCACTGACTACTTGGAAATGTCAAGTATCAACTTCTGCAGTTTCATAAACTTTCTTAGATTTACGGTTGATGTATAAATCAAACCTTTGCTCCCCTAAACTTTACAGCCAGTGGCATAATCTGGATTAGCTCTCAGCACAGTATTGCACAACGCACTCTCACAAACATCACATTTGTAACTGAAGTAAGAAACATTGTTACCTGTCTTCAGCAAATTATACACAAAAAACTACACTGTATATTCATGTTCACATTAAGTCTGGAATTATTCTGTGACAAAACTTGCTCTGTCAAACAATGTAGACTAGTTTTGCACATAGAATACTTTATCTGTATGTTTTTGGAAATAATAACATTATCAGATTTCCTGGTTTTGAAAAGACTTTTCAACAATCAATCTTCACCTCCTTACCACCACTGTTACTACTATTCTGAAAAGGCACATGCATTAGAATTCATTAGATGTGTATTTTGCAGAAGAACAGCAAGAATTCTCAAGTACAACAAAATCACGGATTTGGTGTGAATTAAGTTTAGACTCTCTACTTTCAGGTCTTAAATTCTTATATCATTTATCAAGGGTTTTGACCTCAATGGAGCCAAAAAACGCTCAGGACTTGGAAAAGAAACAACATGAGAAAAAGAAGACTTACGCAAGAGCTTCCAAATTCTTAAAAGGGTTATGCTCAGATACTTAAAAATAAAACAATAAAATAAAGCTTCTGCAGCACAGAAAGCTGTAATATACACTGATCACTAGTATTCTCCACTGTAAAAGATTCTTCATGTAACTTAAAGATGACACTAATGAAAGTGTCTAAAGACATAAGAAACATGTCAAGATCCATGGCAACAGTTGCAACAGAAAGCTATCATAGTCCTGATTCAGTATAAGGCCTAAATAAGGAAATCTGGGCCTTAACTACTACATTGTGCTCTCCCTGTGCAACTGTGCAGTTTTCAAAAAGAAAAAAAACTCATCACAAATGAATAAATTACAACTGTAAAAACAAACAACAACAAAAAAGGGACAGCCTACCCGCAGCCATTGCTTCTCTGTGAGAGCATCACTGTAGTCCACATCCCTGCGTTGACGGGATCCTCTTCCAAATATTTTCTCTTCTTCTTCTTCACACGTAAGCCTTTCAACTTCAGCATCATCCTTAATAATCCAGGATGGTAATTCATCCTCCTCCATCAAGCGGGGCTTACGCTTGGGGTTTCTAGCATCCTCCCTGCGACGGTCCATGTCCATGCGCTACAATGGGAGTCGGGAAAGGATAAAACAATTTTAAGGGCAAATATCAACTGAATCATGGAGATTCCTGGTTATCTAATGATACTTGTGAAGGACTTTGTTTAAAGTATCAAGTATTTCCCTTCCATAACACTTCTAAATCCTTCTAAAATGCAAACATAAAAAGAAGCTACACTTGATGGTTGACTTTCAGTCAAGTTCAGTGCTCCAGAACTAGCTTTAACTGAAATAACTGAGAGAATATCGCAGCTAAGTGATACAAAGCGGATCACAAGAACACTGTTGTATTGTGTTAATTAAACAACTCTCTTCCTTTTTTGCACAGGTTTTATGATTTCTTTGTATTCATAAATCTGATCTGCAAGTACCGATCATTCATTGACAACATCCTCATAAGGTGTTACAATTATGTAACTATAAAGAATAATCGAAAACATTAGTTGTGTGAGCCTGAATATCAGAAGATGAAAATTTAAAAGCTGGTATTAGAAAAAAAACTAATCAAGAGAGAGAATTAAGAAATTCAGAAAAAAGCTTCCCTAAAGAGTGCCGGAAAGACCACATGCTTAAATCACTGAATTTTTCCTTTTTTTTTTACTGCTGTACTAGGCAAAAATCAGAACGCATACGAAAATATCAGATAAGATTAGGTAAAGTGTTAAGGATATTAGAAGGTAATATTAAGACTTCCAGTCAAAACTCAAATAATCACATAAATTAATTTCAAGTGTGGTGAGCAACTACCTCAGAAAACAGATATGGATACTCAGGATACATTCCCATGACCTACGGTAGACTCATCAGTGACATGCTTTATAATCCTCCCGGGGAAGCATTCACTTCTCTGTATTGACTATATGCTGACCTAAGCTCCTATGGTCCTGTGAATCTCATTTGCATTCTTCTAAGTGGCCCAAATCAGATTATACTAATAGCCTTTCCAAATAGGTCTTCTGAAGAGACATACAGTACTTAAACACTCAGTAATCAGCTGCTGAGCAGAGAAAACAAACAGGTGGTCACTGAGCATTTAAATTTCATATTTGAAAAACTAACACAAATAGCCTGGCACCAGAATTGGCTGCAGCGTCAGAACAGGCTACTGCTTTGGCCAGTAAACATATGTGAAAAGCTTTCTCCATTATGTGCAAACCCCTCCCTTGTGTGCATGATGCTGCACTTAGTATCGGATGCCAGCTACACATATCACCCTCTTACACCCCTAGCCAAGACACAGACATGCATAAATTCAGAGGTATATATAGGGGCAGCTCAAATCCAGCCAAATTTACTAACTGAGGCTTAACAATGACACTGTTTAATATGTTAATCTTCCCTCATCTTGGCATTTTCAAATACAAACATTCCCAAAATACTAATTCAGGCACAGCATCTTACAAGTAGTCTTCATCAATCTTGCCTGGTGCCCCATTTGATTTCTAAACTCAGTGAAAAGCAGAACGTTAAGATGTGTGCCTTCAGTCTGCAGGTCCAACTACATTCAAGAGGCAACTATACATGTGGGTTTTTCCCATCCTTCCTTACCTCAGACAATGATGAATGGGCTGTTTAGTCTTTGTTTTTTTATAGCAGACTTCCATATTTCACCTTTTAAAGAACACCTCATTCAATCTGAATTAATTTCAAAAAATGTCTCATTCAAGCCAGCCATGTGGCTTGGTCTATTACTAACTTGGCAACCAGAAAGCTGCATTGAAAGAAGGCCCAAATGGGATAGATGGGATAACATTTCTCTATTATTTAGCAGAGAACTTCAGTGAAGTCAGGGACATCATACTATAACGACATTAAGTACATGAAGTGAATGCTGAAATGTCATTTTTTTCCCTGATGACCATGTTTCTACCTCTAAGACAAAGACTGAATGCTAAGGTCGTATATTTTAATAGGTGTTTTCAGAAATAAAAGTGTTTGGGGAAGGAAAATTAAAGATACTCTCAGTTAATCTGAGATGTAAGAGATACAAACAGCCATTTGCTTTTTATCAGGATACTACTCAAAACACTTTCATCTCTGGGAAACCTCTGGACATATTTTCCCATGTCTTACCAAAATATATAATTCCAACCCAGATCTATCTTCTTTTAACTAATAAAGTAATTATATTTACACTGTCCTCAACGATGCCTAAATGCTGGAAATGAAAAAGTTCTACGCTTACACAGTTCTATGCTTACACAGTGAAGAACTGAAGTGTTGGCATACTCAAGGCCTATAGCTTCCAGTTTAGAGAAAACACAGAGCACTGCTGTCCTATGAACTGTGAATGGTTATCTTAAAACTTCCCGAATTACAACTAAAATAGTCCTTAAAAAACCCATCCAAGCCGCTCAGTGAAAAACCAGCAATTTATATGCTCAGTTGCTGCTATATTGCCTTTTTGGATTCAAGAAGAGAAACTGTATTAGCACAACTGGCACCTATTTTGGTGAGAGGCTTTCCTTTGAAAGCCACTCTTCCACTTGAAAGGTAGTTTTTACATCAGGATTCTTTATTTAAGTAAATATAACATTAAATATAACATTAAAATTAACTCCAAAATTTTTCCAGGAAGTTAACACTTGTTGAAGCACACTATTATGAAATTACAAGAGCTGTACAGATCACATTGAAACATCGACTTTTCTCTGAATACTTTCTGAACTTTTTCACTATGTGATGAAATGCCACCATTTGCACTGAATATAAAAGTGGCACAGTGTGAGGTTTGAGGCTATCTAGAGTTTTTACCTATTGTTATATATGTGAAGCCTCTAAAAGTCAGGGAAACACAGTCCACTTGTACACATCCTCTTTCAGAACAGTGTATTTAGCCCTACAGCTGCATCTCAGAATATGCCAAAGAATACTTCTAACCTGAGAAGTGATCATAGCACAGCTTCTCAAGGAACCAGTCTGCTCTCGTCTACTGTTTTGGAACTGCTCACTTTAAATAAGCAAGACATACTTTTACACCTCTAAGTTTAGCTAAATGGACAAATTAAACCACATTTTCTTGGATGTTGCAGCTTGCTGAATACTGATTACATGTGCACCATCTTAACAGCGGGAATGAGGTGGTGGCACAAGTATCACTGACGTAAGGAGAATACAAACTATGCTCCTTACCTGACTATGCAAGAACTAAGATATTGATAAAATGAAGACAAACAACCATGACTGCTAAACTTGTTTTTCAGACAATTTTTTATAATTAAACTTGTTTGCATCCCAGAAAGCCAGCCGTATCCTGGGCTGCATCCAAAGCAGCATGGGCAGCAGATCGAGGGAGGTGATTCTGCCCCTCTACTCTGCTCTTGTGAGACCCCACCTGGAATACTGCATTGCGCCCTGGAGTCCCCAACACAAGCAGGACATGGAGCTGCTGGAGCGAGTCCAGAGGAGGGCCACAAAAATGATCTGAGGGCTGGAGCACCTCTCCTATGAAGACAGGCTGAGAGAGTTGGGGCTGTTCAGCCTGGAGAAGAGAAGGCTCCGGGGTGATCTTGTTGCAGCCTTCTAGTACCTAAAGGGGGCCTACAGGAAAGCTGGAGAGGGACTTTTTACAAGGGTGTGTAGTGACACAAGAAGGGGCAATGGCTTTAAACTGAAAGAGGGGAGATTTAGATTAGATATAAGGAAGAAATTTTTCACTCAGATGGTGGTGAGGCACTAGAACAGGTTGTTCAGAGAAGTTGTGGGTGCCCCATCCCTGGAAGTGTTCAAGACCAGGTTGGATGGGCTTTAAGCAACCTGCTGTAGTGGAAGGTGTTCTTGCTGATGCCAAGGGAGTTGGAACTAGATGATCTTTAAGGTCTCTTCCAACCCAAACCATTCTCTTATTCTATGATTCTAGTAAATAGTTTACTAAAATGAAAAAAATTCTTTACTAACAATTAAAATTACTTCTTAGCCATTATTTAACTTCACTGTTTCTATTTTAAGCATTTTTAAATCCCTGACTTTCAGAGCATGTTAGCTTTGCATCTTCAAATTTTTATTTCCTACTACTAACTCTTTACTCTCCCTTAAAAACAACTTTCATATAAATTAATAGGAAAAACATAAATTCAGCCCACACAGTGGTCAAACTGTCTCCACTCTAGGCCTCTCAACTGTTCAACTATTTTACTGAATGGTTGTTAATAGCCTTCAAACTTAGTCCAAAAAGATGAAGCTGTAGAAATTTTCTGCAAACAGACACAAATTCATCAGCCACTTTCAATCCATGGATTAGTTCATTCCCTCTGGGTCTGAAAGAAAAGTAGTGAGAAGCTTTTTCCAGTAGTAAATCCACTTTCACAGAACTCATGGTACTTTCAGCCAATAATTTGGCTGCAATTATTCGTTTTGAGTTTTAGATCAAAAGGCGACCTCTTGGATTCTGTTATGTAAATATCCTTACACGGGAAACACTGAAGGAAACTTTAAAAGACTGATGTCTTTAAGCACTTATTTTCTGTGCAGCCTAGCTTTAGGGATTCCAGTTCTTCTGAGATAACATTAAACGCAGTGCAAAAGACTAAATTGGCAAGTAGGCAACGACGAAAGGCATGGCCATGTGAGGGAATATGGCCTTCACCAACTGTGCACTTGAACAACCGCCACTTAGATAAATCGGACCCCTGCACGCTTGTGTAATAGCGAAGTTTTACAGACGAATCCTTGAGCAGAAGATGGCGAGGAAGTAAGAACCTGTGGTCCTCTCAAGGGTTGTGTCTGTGGATACCACCTGATACACTTTCACTCATGCACATACGTGTGTCTTGCTCCACCCTGCAGAACAAAGCAGCCTCTACTGAATTAGAGGGGATGATGCTTTACCTTCAGTACTGAAGTATCCTCCTGTTTCTGTGTCAGGGAGTCCCAAAGGTCCTCCAGCTATCATCACAGTGTACAAACACTAAAAGGCAAAAGGCATGCCTATACTGACATTTTAGTAATTATTGCATCAGTGTTGTAGCAGCACTAACAAAATGGGAAGTACAAATAACAATGAGCTGTCTGCATTTCTAATGCTACTTTGGTAACTGTTCAACAGTTGTAGCAGCAGAGATGCAGCTAATCGAGCCCTTGACAAAACCACCAGCAAGCCCCAGTTAACTCACAATGAAAACAGCATTGTCAGTCTACTAAGCTACTCTCTTGTTAAGTTCTGTAGTTGTCTTTGCCAGTGTAATAGCCCAAAAGTCAGAAGAAATGTTGAAAAATAAAAGTGTCTTGTAGAAATAGCAAGCCAAACCGTGACTATCAGTTTTGCACTGTAAATTTCTCCAGTCATGCCAGACTCTTCCTCCATATTGGCACTGTTCCACTATACTGTCCAGAAGGATCTCTGAAGTCTTTCTGTCACGTGAGGAACTCTGTGTTTAAGTAGACTACCCTTCTTTCCTCAGATAAACAATGAAAGTAAATAAAGCCTATTCCTCCAATACTTTTCCAAAATTCGAGTGACAAAAGGTTAAGGCCTTTGTTAAAAACACTAGAGAAGACAGTCTGTTTATGATCATATCATCCTTACCATGAAGAGATCAAATTCCTCCTCACGTCGAGCAATCATCTGATTCAGAGTCTCATCATCAGGAACTTCATCTTCCTCCTGGTTACATAGATGGATAAAGGTATTAGAAGGTAGCTACATGTAGCTTGAAGTAATAGCCTCCAACAGGTCAGTGTTGCACTGACTCCTGTCACAACACGCGTGAAACTCTCAAAATCAAACTAAAATTTTTCAAATGTTCAGCAATTCAGAAGTAACGCAAAACAGGCGTAATTAGAGAGACTATTGGGACTTATTACCACCTTCATAAATTGAGAATGAGGAAATGAGTAAATGCGCAACCAGGAAATTTTGGGTTGTGGTTTTCCTGGGTCAGAAGCACAGTTAGTGCTTCAGTTAAAATATATGCATTTCCGTTCTGCTGTTATACAGTACTGCCTCAGAAATACCATTCTGCATTATGAGGTCTTTGCTGTCAAAGCAAGGAGAATTAAAAAGTTCTAGTTAAATGAAAAAAATGAAACGTCATTATATCATAAAAAATTCCTTCTGAATCCCTCTTTCTCTTGACCATTATCTGCTTACAAATTGAAACGTGAACCTCTGACTTCAGATAAAATGAATAATTTATAAAAACAGAAACAGTCCTTGGAAAAACAATTTGGAACCGTAGAATTCAACTAAAAATGTTAAAGCTGAACAGCTATGATACCTATTTTAACATAATCAGAGCCCACAGTGTTCAGTTTCCCTCCCCGAATTATTTTGAAAGCATGTGGCATTTCAAATCTGACAACAGGTCAATCAAAACAATAAAACTACTATAGGGCTTACTGAACTTATGTTACAGTATGCTGCAGACCTAGAACTTTTCATGAAAACTCATGTTTTGTACTCAGTGAAAAGGAGGTACAGAATGCTGCATACGGCACCCAAAAAACAAAACTTCTGTAGCTTTCTTTTTTCTAGAAATGAAAAGAAGAGGCCTTTATTTATTCACACTTTATTTTCCCTCCACTGGCAAGATTTCTGTACCTCAGAAAAAAATACAGTTCTTATTAATACAATTCCCAATAAGCATCTCTGTACCTTAATGTACATGTAATTTAAATGTTAACATGAAAAATGCAACTGGGAAAATGATAGAGAGCTACCTCTTCTTAATTCTAGTCAGTGCTCCTTCATCGTTCCAAAAAATTGGAAGTTACATAGCTACACACAGAGATAAAAAAAGTGCAGATCACTTCTTTTATCATCAGTGAAGAATGTGACCCTCATGAAAGTTTCACATGCTTCCTATCATCTTAAAGAGAGCAACTTGTGACCTGAAAAAAATAAAGGATCTCACAGCAGAAGCTGTAAAAACAGTGTCCACATCATCTCTGTTTAGTCTGAATAATCCTGTTGCCAACCAGGAAGGCCTTGCAGAAGAAAAATTCATAAACATCAGTGCCAACAAAAAATGCCTCCATGAACAAGTTACTTCCAAACACCTGTCATACATTCCTATTATGCTAATATATCTTTGTAAATACAAAGAAATTACCTCTTTGCTTTATCTAGTACTGGTGAAAGAAAAAATAAAGCCAAAAAGAGAGGAAAGAACAAAGAAGAATAAGGGGAGTTTCGACACTGAATTTATGAAAACTACTAAGAAAGTACAAATAGAATACAGTGCTCTACATGCAAGTGTGAAAAGCTTTGATATGCAAGTTTAAAGCATGCTCAGCAAGGGAATATTTAACTAGGTGGTCACTAAACAATCTCTTTATTAGATGTGCTAGTCCGTATTTGCAAGTTGAAGTTGCTTTGATATTAATAACTTCACTGAGAGACTTACTTTTTTTTAATCAATCTCTCATTTGATACTCAAATTTTGTTTTTCCAGTGTTATTGCAATGAAGAAGTAATGACTGACCAATGCAGGACGGTGCAAATTCAATCCTTCTTATTCCCAGTGTTCGGGAAAAGTTTTGCATAGCTGCTGTTCGCAAAGAAATCTTACTTAAAAGCTTCAGCTTCAGTCTGACTGTTAGGAGTTGATGAGAAGCTGAACGTGAGCCACCAACATGTGCCTGCAGCCCAGAAGGCCAGCCGTATGCTGGGCTGCATCCAAAGAAGTGTGGCCGGCAGGTCAAGGGAGGGGATTCTGGCCCTCTGCTCTGCTCTCATGAGACTCCACCTGGAATACTGTGTTCAGCCCTGGAGGCCCCAAAACAAGAAAGAGATGGACCTGTTGGAGTGGGTCCAGAGGAGGGACACAAAAAATGATCTGAGGGCTGCAGCACGTCTCCTATGAAGACAGGCTGAGAGATGTGGGGAGAGGGGGAGAGGAGATCATCTAGCAGTCTTCCAGTACCTGAAGGGGGCCTACAGGAAAGCTGGAGAGGGGCTTTTTACAAGGGCATGTAGTGACAGGACCGGGGGCAATGGCTTTAAACTGAAAGAGTGATTCTATAACCTCACTTCTCACTACTACCAGTAAAGACTTAACAGCTGGTTTTAAACAGCTAATTGTTTCTTGAAGATGAAGTGGTAATTAGAAGTTCAGGTTGGACACAGCATCAGAAGGAAACAGTTATTTTTCTGGCTTGCTCTAAGCCCAAAGCACATCAAAACAGATCTGAACTCCTTTCCAGGATCCAAAAGAAGCACAAGTCTTTCACGATTGAACCTAGGTAGTCCTAGTTGGTCAGCATGTCTGAAAATCAAATCATCTAGTTTAATATACAAACTGGATTTAGGAAATGTTCTATAATCTATTTTGAAAAACACTTGTTTGAATACAATTCTTCGCCAAAATTACGAAAGGGAAGAATGGGTTTAAGTTACAAAGCCTAGTTCTATACTAAGATTTCATCATAACCAGTACATCATAGCCATTACATTATAAGCTATAACTGTGACCAAAAACAAAGAGAGAAAAACTAAGTTTTTTCTTTGTGTCATGGTTTAGGCTGCTCCAGCAACTAAACTCCACACAGTCACTCACTCACCCTCCTTCACCCCCAGGGATGAGGAAGGGAGTTAAAGGAGAAAAGGAAAAGAGACCCGTGGGTTGAGATAAGAACAATTTAATACTACTGCTACTAATACATGAATATATACATATGTACAATGATAATAATATATACAAACAAGTGACGCACAATGTAATTGCTCACCACCCCTTGATCAAGGCCCGTCCTGTCCTGGACTAACGATCCTGAAACAGATAAGTCCCGACACCGTAATCCCAGACGAGCGAGAGGCCCGAAGAGAGCGAGAGCGAGCACTCCGAGAGTCTGAGAGTGAGAGTCCCGGAAGAGCAAAGGTCCTTCTTTTCGGCTAACCCTCACTTTTATACTGGGCATGATGTTCAATGATATGGAATACTAATTGGCCGATTTGACCCTCAATCCTAAGTCTAAGCACAAATCATAAGGAGAGTCGTGGACCCTCCGTCCCAGCCATGCTCCCCCCTCAGCCTGTTGTGCTCCTGCACACTGGCAAAACAAGGCAGCTGAAAAGTCCTTGAGGCCTCAGTGCCAACTATAAACATCAGTGCACTATCAACATTCTTCTCATAACGAGTCTCAGACTAAAACCAAAACACAGAGCTCTTCTGGCTGCTAAAAAGAAGAGCTAACTCTGTCCCAGCTGAAACCAGGACACTTTGACTGGATGGCAAGAATATAATGATATTTCTAATTTCAAAGGAGATGACAATCTTTGTAACTTATGACTTCCTACTGATTACTTCTAACTACCCAAAGTACTGAGGCCTGAGCAGCAGGCCTTGAACCAAAGTTGACCTCCAGACGAACACACCACCCCCCACAATCAAACGTTATATAATAATCAGCATCCGATCATTAGTGAAATATGTGTGATCATTAGCGAGCGATGTAGCTTAGATAAAACATCACAGTGAAGATGAAATGTCATGAGAATATTTTTATCCTTCCTTTCTTCCTTGTTTAGAGGCAGGCCATCAAGGCCATGAAACTAGATGTCTGGCCTTGTTCAGTGATGCTTGGTCAAAGCCAAATAGATAAAGAAACACCCTTAGTTCCACCCTGAGCCCTGGCCAGGCTTCGGGTGGGATCTAAGAGGAGAGTGAAACCAGATGTTTCTGCAGTTATGTAAGTTTGTTTATTCAACAATATAAAAAGCTGGACCCTCTTGCAGTGACGTTGGAGACCTAACCTACGAGTGGACGCACTGCATAGGACCTCCCACTTGCTGGGAACAGGCTCTCCAAATCCTCACTACAACTGGGGCTCCTCAGTGACTGCAGATCTGGATGATGGTAAAGCACTGAGGCACTGAGGGGATGCACCTCTCAATCACTATAGTTAACCGTATGTTGTAATGATTAAGTGCATTACTGTGTTTTGTTCCTTTGATTCGTGCTGCCTTATTTTACTTCTTATTCTATTGCCTTAAACTTAAGTAAAAAGAAACTAATTTCTTTAATTTGGTGTCTGTGTCCTTTGTGCTGACCGCATCCATTGGCAAAACACTACCTTACCTCATTTTCCTCTTCATGCTCCAATATAGCTTGTAGGAAGGCTCTCCTTTCATGGCTTGAAGATTTCTGATCAAACATTCCAGCCTGAATAACTTTTTGATCTACATTCAGCTTATACTTCGCAGCTGCAAGTATCTTCTCTTCCACACTGTTGACAGTGCACAGCCGCAGGACTCGAACTTCGTTCTGCTGACCAATTCGGTGAGCTCTATCTTGGGCCTGCAAGTCCTATTGGCAAAGAATACAGAGTGTGATTTATATCGTAAGTGTGCTACAGAAACCGTTCTCTGCCGGTTATAATGCCAAATTCTTTCTGGTATTAAAAGCAAGTACTCAACGACAGTCTACCACAATACATGTGGTTCTTTCCTCACTGTTTTCTTTCCCAAAATTCCATCAGACTCAGGTAGGGGAAAAATGAAAGGAAAAAAACATGGACATGCTCTGTACAGTGTGAATGCAGTAAGCCAACAACTTCGAAGGGCTGATGCATTTATTTTTTTCACTTCTAATCAAAGCTCATGGCCTTCCAAGACAGAATGAACCCTAAAGTAAAATATCTCATCTGCAGGAAAAGAAAGCAACAAAATTACTAGTAAATAACTCATACATAAACTTATCTATTAAAGGCCACTGCTAATTCTTAAATAGGTTAACTAAGAATTATTTGATCTGTTGAATTGGCTTTTAACTTGGAATATGTGTGTAAAACCAGGTTAAATATCATCTTCTTAATTGAAAGTTCATATGTACAAGACTGAATCAATGTAACTATTTCTTCATCAGATGATTGTACTTAGAAATTGGAGAAGTAAAAAGCACACTGCAGGTCATAGGTAAAGAATTTCTTTTATTAATTCAAAATCTTACCCGTTTTCTTCAGGGAAAAGAGATATCCATTAACTCCTATAAATGATGTGTTTCTATTTCAGCATAGTCAGATAAGGAAGGGTACCTAACCTCAAAACACTATCACAGTTTTGTGCTACCTCACAACACAGGTATTTCTTAACATAGAGAAAAAAACGAAAATAGGCAATGAGTTTGCTTATTTCAGTGTAGCACCTTGCTTTTGCTACCGGTTAGCTGTTCCCTCCCACAATTCCCTTCCCAAGCACTACATACGATGCAGCTGCTGCAACCTAATGCTGTATTTGAAGTCTGCATTAACAGTGAAGATGAAGCTACACTATGAATTTGTTTATCTTATCATTTTCAGAAGCACACGAAAATGGTAAAGCAAGGAAACAGAAGTTTTTACTTCTAGTAATAATGCCGTTTTAAGTGCTCACCCTGCCCACAACATCCCTTTCATTAAAATGAACAAATCACTCCCATCTGCAGGAGAAGAGAAACTGCATGCAAGAGAAAAGGAGGATGTGGGAGACCTTATGGCTCTCTACAACTACCAGAATGGAGGTTGTAGTGAGATGGGGGTCAGACTCTTCTTGCAGTTAACAAGTAATAGGACAAGAGGAAATGGCCTTAAGTTGTGCCAGGGGAGGTTCAGGTTGGATATCAGGAAAAATTTCTTCACCAAAAGAGTGCCAAGCACTGGAACAAGGTACCCAGGGAAATGGTTGAGTCACCATCCCTGGAGGTATTTAAAAGATGTGTGGATGTGGTGCTTAGGGACATGATTTAGCGGTGGACTTAGTAGTGTTAGATTTATAGTTGGACTTGATGACCTTAAGGGTCTTTTCCAACCTAAAGCATTCTATGATTCTAGGATTTTGTAACTTAGCAATCTGTTCAATGAATATTCCAGAAAATATTCTAGAATTTTTACTATACTGAAAGGATTTATTGTTATCCAACTGTTGAATTATATAGTCTTCTGCATTAAACATGTCTGTGAAAGTGACCTAAAGACAATTAAAACCACAAAGAATGACGTACTTTCTGAGCTACTTTTAAAACCTATAAATATAATTGTTCCCAATTTCTTAAGTCTTGCTTTAAACTGGTCACCATGGCATCTATGAGAATGCTGCCTCAAAAGTTCTATACAAAACCCTTTCAGTCTCACTTCCAACACCTACACACAGCCATTGACTATGATGCGATTTGCATATATTTGCACAATAGCTGAAAACACACATAGCTATGTACTTCCAGAGATACTTAACTTACATTCTTAGAAAAAAAAAGAAAAAGGCCGTAAGTATCAAAGACAGACTTCAGTTACCTCTTCTGGCTTTCCTAAATAAGCCAAAGTGGTCTGATACCCTCCTTTCCTGGTGATCTACTACGTACCCATTCCAACAGTGCAAGTTCAGTGTCTCAGGCCAAGTCTGCTGCAGTTTTACGGTCGCTAATTTTCTGAGACAGACAGTGCTCTGCACAGCCTTTACCAAAACACTGCAACCAAAATACTACCGAAGACTCAAAATTAGGTAGTTACTTATTAACGCCCTGAGGGCTAAAGAATGAGTACATTTACAAAAATGAAGCAGGTCTATAAGGCCCCTAGCTCTGAGGATTCCCTGAGACTCAGATAAAGTACATACACACACACAGAATTACTTCAATGATTCAAACCAAAACAGATTGTAGCAGTTTGCCTCACTAATTCCTCTCAAAGCAATATTTTATTACTTACCTGGATCTATTTCTTTCACCCCAGGTAATATCCCAAATTTGAAGAAGTAGCCCAAAAAATCATCATAAATTCTTTGTGCTTTTTATAAAGATAAGTAAATAAAAATAACCTGGTGAGGATTCCAGTCGCTATCAAAGATTATAACAGTGTCAGCAGCCTGGAGATTTAAGCCTAGCCCTCCGGCCCTTGTACTCAGCAAGAAGATAAAGTATTGTGATCCAGGTTCATTGAACTTCTTCAACAGAGCAGCTCGATCCTCTGATTTTGTTGTGCCTGAAAAGAAATAAAAACACCAAACCCTGTAACAAAGATGTGAACTGAAATAACACAAATACAATGTCAGTTGCTAAAGGTACATATAGAAGGGAAATTTTAGCTCGCTTGTTCTTTGCCATCTCTGCCACATTTTCCATAATAAACACTGGCCACAAATGTTTTGAACAACTGCCTATCACATCTAAGAGGTAGACTTCTAAATACCTCTTTTAAGTATTGCTTCTGACATTTCAAAATGTTGGCTAACATTGTTGTACTTTTTTATGACTCACATAAATTTCAATTGAAATTACTATAAACAAACAGAAGAGAGCTCTAGTTTTAATTAATGCTTTCTGGCCATGACAGCATCTAAATATTTTTTTAAATTTATTTATATATATCAAAATGTCATTGTTGGCCTTCAGAGTCATAATTAACATGAAAGCATTGAAAATTTTTTGAATGTCCCAGCTTGAGGATGATGGCGTACCACGGCTGAGGGAAAGCAAGCAAGGAATTAAATCATGGTGAAAATGTAGACAAAGTTCTAAGTAAAAATCAAGCCCTGTGCAGTCTGGTGACTGGATGAGTTTCACAGTCTAAACGGATCACCTTAGCCTGGTCCATTGCTTGCCTTATCTTTTCTACACTCTGTCTGTAACTGAAAGCCAAAGAAAGTCTGCTATTTTCATTCAGGTATCGATATATGTACAGAAGGTGAAGTTTTTCTATTACTGTGGTGGGTTGAGCCCAGCTGGCTATCAGATGCCCAATCTCAAACCTCCACTTTTCTCACTGCTCCTCCTCAACAGTACAAAGGGAGAAAATAAGATGGAAAAGCCCCTGGGCTGAGATGAAGGCAGTTTAACAAAAGCAAAAGCTGTCTGCGCAAGCAAAGTAAAAAGAGGAATTTATTTACTACTTCCCATCAGCAGGCAGATGTCCAGCTACTTCCTGGAAAGCAGGTCCTCAGCACTTATAATAACTACTTGCAAAGACAGGTTTGTAATGAGGAATGTCCCTGCATCCTCTTCCTCAGCTTTTACTGTTCAGCATGTCCCTTTGGTCAGTTTGGGTCAGCTGTCCTGGCTGGGTCTCAACTCACCCTCAGCCTGCTGGCCTTAGAGGTGAAGGGGTGGATTGGAGAGAAAGCCTTGACACTATGAAAGCACTGCTCAGCAATGCCCAAAATACTGGAGTGTTATCATTGGTGTGTTATCAACCCTACCTAGCCACAAATGCAAAGCACAGCACTATATGGGCTACTAGGAGGAAAGTTAACTTCATCTCAGCCAGATCCAGTACAAGCACAGCCAAACTGCTGGCCCACAGAAACCCATTCCCTTTAAAAGCATATGACTTGGGTGGAAAACACTCTGTGTGAGAAGAGAGCCGGACAGAATCTACATATATATTAAATTCCAGCATGGAAGGTATGTGTCATCACAAAACTGGAAATGAAGAAAAAAGGGTTCATCTCATTAATTCAATGAATTACCTGAAAAACGTTAAAGAAAACATGGAGCTGTATTTACCATACTGTGTATTGCCATAGAAATTCTAGTACAGAAAAAGAATTTATTTTTAAATACATGGTGCAAGGTAATTTAAAACATTAAATGTAATATAATTCATCTTTCTTGAATGGAAGCTTTAAAACACCTGTGGCCCAGAGGTGCAAGGAGGGTTTTGTTAGCATGGTACTATGTTCTTCAGCCAGTTTTGACAAAAACATCCTCTGGCTTAGTGATACAGCTCATTTGTGTCTCAGTTTCATAAGCTCATTTTACATTCGAGGATAATAGCATTTCAAGTTTATGTTCATTAATATTTGTAAAGGACAAGAATACTTCTCAGCATTGCTTTTCTTCCAAATAAAGCATGAAACAAAGAGTTAACTTAAAATGCTGTGAAAAGAATATATAAAAGGGCCTTAAACTCTGACTTTGTTCAAGCTTTTCTTTATATTCTTCTTAAATTATTGCTTTTCTATTAAAAAGGTATTCTGATAAGTGCTGCTGGCCCTATATAATCACATAATGTGTGAGACAAATACATTAAGTAAAAATAATCAATATTTAAGAAGGTCAGTATGAGGCAGAGATCACCAACATGGAAGAAAGCCAAAACGGAAAGTTCTTTCAAACAGGTTTAAGCCTCAGATGGGATACACTATTATTACTTATTTTACTTTTAATATCACTTCACTACGTTTCTAAACCATTTTTTCATTCAAAGGTAATAACACATGTCTACAAGTAATTGAGGCTACTGACCTTCCTGTGAAATTCAGGCAGAAAAATACACGTACTACTTCACCTGTCACTGAAATTCAGCTATACTATGGAAAATGGCAGTCGAACTTTGAACAGGTACAAATCAATTAATTCCACTGGAATCTAGGCAAAACACTAGCATTATCACCTCTCATGATGAAAACACTTTTGGGCAACTTAGATAGTGACAACTGATTGAGACTTAGGATTTTAAACCTCGTTTGAAATAGAGATCAGCCCCTGAACATCAAATATCTATATAATTTGCATTCCAGGAACAGACCTGAGTGTTCATCAAAACAATGCCTCGACCAAATGGTTTGCAGGTTGAACAAATGAAAGAAAATAGTCAAAGAGCCAAGGAGATGGGAGAACACTTAAGATCAATTCTACTGACAGACAGAAAAGTGTATCTTACTCAATATTTTGTCTGTAAGAACAGGAAAAAGCTAGTAAGCTGCAGCTTAAGGGTCTACTGCCATAATTTCATGATAAATACCCTTGCAGACTCTTCCTTCATGGATTTGTCAATCATTTTTCGAACCTATTTATGCTTTTGTATAGCCACATCACAGCACTGCTAGGAAGACACTAAGGAAGAGAACCCAGGTCCCCCATGCCCAAACTAATGAAACATGCTATTTCCTAACTTATTACTTATTGCTTTTCTTTTTTCATTTAGCTTACCATCGAGACGCAGGTAAAGAAAATTTCGAAAGGCAAAGTAGTCTTCCATAATGGTCATGAGTGACGTCATTTGACAGAACAGAAGCACACGATGGTTAGTAGCTCGTAACTTTGGTAGAATACGGTCGAGTAGCTCAAACTTCCCTGAGGCCCGATAAAGTTCGGCTCTGTTGAGGAGAAAAAGCACAGTAAACGCCAGAATGAGCCCACATTTAGAGAAGTTTTTAGTCATTATCATGTCAGAGTACAACAGAGAGATTAATTTACTTAAGACAAGAAAGACTAACAGCACTTTTGTCTCTTTAAAATGGTTTATGTTGATTAAAATAGAAAAAATAAACACCTAAGTGAATTCCTGTTTGGAAAGGATTTTCTTCAATTACAAAAACTGCGTGGACTATCAACCACAGAGAATATCTTCCTTTATGAAACTCAATTCTTTTTCATTATTTCTCTAAATAACAATTTCTCAGCTAGATAAGCATTTTATCAGTTAAGACAATGACCTGCTATAGTTTTGCTTTCAACTGGCACCTAATGCAGCTGTAAGTTGTATTCATCAGGCACATGTCAGAAACAACTGCCTTTCCACTCAACTACTACGCACATGAAAAGTGAAATATTCCAAACTGAACTAATATGCAAACATAAAGAGAGGAGTTTCAGAGGATATACTCTTGAGCCATATAACCTCAGTAGCCCTGAACAATGTTTAGTTACTTTGATTAGCTGCTCTTCTGTCTTCTGTGCTATGAACTGCAAAACAGACTCTTGGCACTGAAATTCAAGTCGTAATTGAGAAAATGAATAAAAGTAAACAGGATGTCTAAATCAGCATCAGTTATGTGCTTTATAAAAATAAATTTCACATAACTTTTTTCTAACCTTGAGTCTGTACTCTCAAAATACACTTTATCGTTAGTGAGAGTACAATTAAGTCCACAAGAGATATGGCCTTCTGATATGCACACATACACAATCAGCAAAAGTCTAAACTGTTTAAGAGACAAGTAGTATGGTATACTAGTTAAGGAAAAAAAAGAAACGCCATTAACATTTGAACAGGAAGGAAGTCAGTTGGAAGATTTTCAAATAAAGGAAGAAATGCTACTTTAATTTGGAATAAAGATGGTAAAGAGGGAAAAGCAGAAAGCAAAAGTGACAAGAAAGAGAAGTAAATGTTAACTGATATCTCTGAATAGTTGTTCCAATGAATTTCAGATTATATTTAAACTATCTCAAAATAAGAGGAAAGGAAGACATCAGTTTACAGTCTTCTCTGCCTGTCCTCCTGAAAGAGCTAGAGGGTCATAAAAAGCTCATGTAACAGCTGCAGTACAGTTATCTTTTGCTTTAGACATGTGTTCTGTGCCTCTTCTGTCATTCTATAAACTGCTCAAGTTTGTTAGCATGTATCCTCTAGAAAAGGAATGTGATGCATTAGTACCAATACAACATTCATGAAGAGGAGGAAAAAGTGAAAGAGTTACCCGTTGATGACACCGTTTGAGTAGCCTAAATGTTCAGCGAAGGACTCCTGCAGAGTTATAAGCAATAAACAGATTACTATAAACTGTACACATTATCCCAAAATTATGCATTCTTATATCAATTAAATTAAATATATGAGTGTTGGGGTTTGACTGGCATTATGTTCATACTCTTGAAATTCCCCTTGTAGCAACAGTGGTCTGCTTCATGTTTTCCTGTACTACTATTAGTTGAAATTCATGGTTTGCAGAAGTAACTTCTGTCCGTATACATTTTACTAGATTATAAATGTAGTAGAATCCAATTAATTTACACTAATTACTGGAAGATCTTTTTGCAAATTAATCTAATCAATTAGTACACAAGAGAACAAAGACTGAAAACTACAATGATAATACATGACAGTAAGTACTTAATTATTCATTCTTAAATGTAGCTGCATTCCAGATATTTACAACACTTTCAGTCTTTCCAGATATATTATTATACTTTTGTACTTTGGGTCCTAATGAGAGATGCTACATAGACAGCACATTTTTGCCGAAAAATCAAAGTGGATAGAATACGACAATTTTGGTTGATATTGTGAAAGATTAGCAGTCTACTAATTACAAAGATCCTACACATTGCATTTTGAACTAGTGTCTCTACATCAAAAATTAGGTCTAAGTAGAGATTAAGTTGTTCTGGAAAGTCTTATATTAAAAAAACCCACCATTTTTTAAAGACAGTGTCTCCCCAAGGTTAAATGCTTTAAAACCAGACTTCAGATTACCAATAAAAAGCTGGTGGTTGGTCCATTTGTTTCTAGAAACAAGGAACTCTAATCATAGTATTTTTCAAATGTGTCCTTTTCAGCACAAATGATGCGGACAGATGTGCTCTCCCACATAAATAAACTTCAACAGCAGTTTTCTATTATGCTAGCAATCTGAATAAAAACAACTTTCAAAATCGAACCTGTCAGTCTTACCTCAATGTGTTGAAACATGTATGGGTGATTGCATATCTTTCTCAATTGCATGATAGTGTTCATAAGAGTTTTTGCCCCTCCTTTTCCCTATGGGTACAAACAAGGCAAATCAAATGATGAATCTAATTTCTTAGCTTATTGATGAAGCTTTTGAAAGATATCTTTAAATGCAGGCATAAAAATACTTCTACTCCAAACCTGAACACACATCACTAATTAAAAAAACACAGCAAAACCAAAAAACAGAACAACAAAAAACCAGAAGCTACTGTACAGTTGTCTTGCTGTATAAATTCATCATAAGGATGCTCCGTAACGAAAAAAGAACACCTAGAAGTAACCCAGAAAGTGTGTTATGTATCTATCTGCAGTATTTACAGTGGGAAGCAGGGCATCTATTGTCCTGCATACTGTTATTTATACTGTTTCTCATGAAATTCTACAAATTCCATTGGGTCTGAACCCTCTAATAGGAAATTATTTCAGCTGGATGCTTTTTAATTCTACAGTGTCTCCTCCTGTCTGTTAACTGGATATCTGGGTTTCTCTTTCCAAGCCAAGTAAAACACATGGCCACAGGCAGCTAGAAACCTAGAGATAACCAAATCTCATGAGTCACGCTAATATTTAACAAAGTATATTCTCAAAACCTACTCTACAGTTAATTTTTTTTTTAGAATCAGGACAGATTTCAGACAATAGTCAGTTGTGGTATACTAAACTGCATGGTTAAAAATTAATTGCAACTGGTGGATGAAAGTTTGAGAACATCGTATCATATTAACATTGCCAAACACTTGCTGCTTTCAGATGCCACTTTGTTGCAATTTTATGAAAACGTAATCAGAGTGGCTGCAATATTCCCAGCTTACTGTATGACTAATTTAGCCTTATTTTTTAAATCTCAGCCAAAATAATTTAGCAATTCCCAATAGTAAAACTAAGGAAAAGTACACTATTTGATCATATTATATATGAATAATATTCTCCTCTTTCCTGGAAAGTACAGTGAAATCATAACTTCCATCTACAGCAGAGAATTTACATTTGAAGGGGATACTCCACACATCTAAAGCTTGGTTTTGTTCCTTTCAAAATCGTCCCAAATTTCCTCTAAAGTGCAGTTCATATTTGTTCTAAGAGTCACTTCCTAGAGCTTTCCATCTTAACGAATTCTCTCTAGTCTGAGCTGGTTCCAGGCCAGAGCTGCAGGAAGACAGATATTTTTTCCTAACAGTAGTTTGATCGCTGAAGCCAAGCGTTCTCAACAACCACCTTCCTCTGCTGGCAACAGGTAGATGGGTAAGAGAGCTTGATGAAGCAGTTAAAGAAAAAAAATTAATTCAGAGAGGATGGCAGGAATGGAAAAATTCTAGACCCTTGAGGAGAGGGGAAGGAGAGGGAGGTGTTCAGAAAACAGCAAAGGCAATTTGAACTGGTTAAGCAAAAAGTTGGGTGGAGAAAGAAGTAGGGCAAAATCGACAGAAGATTCTGAGCTGATGAAAGAGAAGAAAGAGACCAGAAAGGGAAGGAAGTATAAAATTGTGACAGAAAATTAAATTTGTAGGACAAAAGTAAAGACATCAAACTAAAAAATTATATTAAAAAACCCTCAGAAGAACACAAATGAATGTTTACAAAGGGCTCTAACTATGAAGATGAGTATCAATAAGAACCAGCTTTGCCTAGAGTCTGAATAAGCACCTGCAAAGAAAACAATTTGACTGCACAAAACAGGAGAGTAGAATAAGACACTGAATAAAAAAGTCATCCTGCAACAGGATGGTAGAAAGACAGTATGTGATTTCACTGCACCGGTAATATACACTTAACAGGGTGCAAACACAAACTGGTATCCACCAGCTGTTCTGCAATACCTATTCAAGGTATTGCACATTTATTATAATGTGAAAAGTATACAGACAAATGAGCTGATGAACGGCAACTCTTTTACTCTACATTAACTGGATCAAGTCTCATGATGACATAATCAAAATTTACTAGTACTAGTCTAAATCTGACTATATGGCTTCGAATCCTGCTGTTTTCTTCAAGAACTTGGTCGTTAACAGATCTCATACGTATGAATGCAAGCATACAGCTGTTGCTAGCCAAAATAAGGCTTACTCTTAACTAACAGCTCTGAAAGAAAAGATGAAAAACATTCTGTAGCCAGTGCTGCCACAATCACAATTATTCAGGTACATTATTGGATTAAACTCAGCCAAGGGAAATGCTGTTTTTTTTCAAGTATTGCCTGTTTGCAGAAAGGCATTGTAACTGCAGTGAATACAAGTAATATCTCTTCCTTATTAACAGACAGGATGAGCTGCGGTCTTGTAGAAAAAGCATGTCTGATAGAGACTTCTTTTCTCATGATAGACGCCTGCAGTAAGAGCCTACATACTAATTTTATAAAACAGAAATCATACTGTTAACATGTTTAATCATAATACATTGTTTCCTACATGTTTTAGTCTTTCTTTCGTACCTTCTTATCTTTTTCAGAACCATCTGTGAGAAGAATCCCCTTGGCTTGCATGTGACGGTACAGGATCTTCTGAAGAGCTGACATATCACATTTGATCACATATTCCACCTAGCATGAAAAAAAACCACAACCCAACCATAAACACACTGACATAATAATGTTAGTAGGCTCTAACTGGAAGTTCTTGTCATCCTAAAACACAAATCAAAAAACTACTAATCTTTTACCTGTACCCTAACACCACGTATGATTTCAGTGAGCAGCAATCCAACTGCAAGCACAGCAATAAGTATCTCAAAAGATCATCTGTGAGAGTCACAACTACTATGAGACAGCTAGATCCTAAGAATGCAATCACAGAGTTGCCAAACATATTTTTTTCTCATTCTGTAATTTTTAATTAAAAAAAAAATTCCTTTTGCTTCATTTTATGTTTAACATGCAATTTAAAAACAAAAACACATTTAATACTCTGTGGACTTTATTATGTCTGCAAAGCATTATAAAAATATTAAGTAAAATATTACAAAAATATTGTCATTGTATACCTAGCAAACAAGCATCTCTCATAGCATCTAATTAGCATTATGGTTACCTAGGCTGGCATAGAAATATGCCATTTTCTCAACATCACCTAAAATTTAACACAGGGAATTAATCAAGCACTGTATGATCCCCACATTCAGTTTGAATTCTTGTTCAGCTTTGTAAAACTATATTTATTAAAGCAGTTTTTGACTGCAAATTATCTTTAAATCCAGTAATATAAAGACTTTATACACCAATTTAACTCTTTTTTTCTATCACTCAATTTCCAGATTACAGTCACTATGTTTTAATAAGTTACCTAATATAAAAAGTCACATAATAAAGCCATACTAGTGGCTAGAAACATTTCAAGTGATGACTAAAAGAAAAAGCAGTAAGCTTCCTAATGTTTAGTGAATAAATAGAATAAAAATTATGAGGTTATTCTCTTCTCAGAAAGACAGGAGGATGAACTCATGAAAGAGAAGTGACTATTTCTTCAATGGCTTCTTTACCAAGCTCTATAAGAAGATCAAATGAAACCAATTAACAAGCTTCAGTCAACAAGTTCAGTCCTCACGGTTAGACCAATTGCTTTTTTCGTAAACAAGGTAATGGAAACAAAACCAAACATGGTCCTCTCAGTACTAGTGTGTTTGCAACTTCTAAATCCCCCTCTCCCAATGCCTATTAATGGATTTATCAAATACAGTGGCTCTAACTGGCAGAAACTCGGACAGAAATACAGATTTCAGTAACATTTTTAAATTAAGTATGTTTTATTCTCAAATAAATGCTTCTGAGGATTGTGAGAATCCAACTTTTGAAGGAACAGAAAGTCACAACAGTAATGGTGTTCACAACATTATAAAGATGAGAAAAATTTTTAAAAAGCCCTTTCCTTTGAGTACTGTCACTAAGAGCTCTTCATTCATTAAGCCAATGTTAGTCAGCTCATAACTCAACTTAAAAAAATTTCATTTTGGTATCATTTTAACCTAGCTGATCTTAGCATCGAATTTTCCAAACAGCTTCAAATTTACTTTTTGATTTAGTTGCTGTTGCTGTTCTGGGAAGAGTGAATGGGAAAAGTGATGCAGGATTGCAGAGGAGGATACAGTGGGGCAAATTGAGTTGCCCAGAGATAAAAACAATGACCTTTCAAATCAGAAGAGAATTTTATGTTCTGAATTAAAAAGTCACTAGTTAAAAACACTTGTGGAATTTCAACAAGACAATTCACACAACTCCTGGAATATTAACACAGGACCAAATTATGTCTGCTTTATAAAGCCCAGTAGTCCTTTAGGAATTCCAGCGAACTGAATCCTCAATACATGGCTGACTCACTTAAAACTGAAAAACAGATATTTTGGAAATAAGTTGCATGTCTTGTATGGATGACTACAAACAGAATTAAAGCTGCAAGACTGGTGAGGATTCCTGAGAATGCAGAAACTTCAAGTATTCAGGCTTCCTCAGTCGTCAACTTTCTTTGTAGAGTTATAAACAAAAAACCCACAACAATAACACATGCTAAAGAAGTCGTTTTCTGTAAAATAAATCTGAAAAACAAACATTACATAATGCTTAAAAAATATTAAACTCCTTCCACAACTTCTCTCATTGCAAACCTTTTCTGGCAGTTGAGATTCAACCTCTTTCTTTTTTAGGAAGGGTCGGAGCACTTTATGGAGACGACGAATAATCAGAATAGTTTCTTCCTCGTTTAAGTCCACCTACAGAAGTTTACAAAAGTCACTACAAGGCAACTCAGCATTGTCAGGTAACGTCTTCTCTCGCATGAAGGGTAAAATATGTGCAATAATTACTTGCATGTTACAACCAAATTGACTCTGATTCAAAAAAAGACACTGATATTAAAATTTTCTGGCATTATAATAAAGGTGACTTTTAGTTACGTTATGTCCCTAAGTACCAGGGCGAGTTCAAACATTAATCCTACTGTATAAGCTCCTTTCTATTTTAATCAAAGGGGTTTGTTTCTGATGTTTTAAAAAAAAATGTTACAGTACCCTTTCTCCAGTCATGGCAAATGGAGCGTTGAACCACTGTTCAAAGGTGCTACAGCTCTTGAAAATGGTTGGGAGGAGGAAATTGAGAAGAGCCCAAAGTTCAGGCAATTTGTTCTGCAATGGAGTCCCAGTCAGCAGTATTCGCCTAGGGGCCACATAGTGAGTATTCAAGACCTGAGTCAGCTTGCAGTGATGGTTCTTCATTCGATGGCCTTCATCTACTATCATGTACTTCCACCGAATCTGTGAGAAAAAGAAGAAAAGTTGGCAAAGTTAGAGCAGGTCAGACTTAGTCCAATTCCTCCCAACAGGTGTACAACAAAAATACTCATTCTCATTTATTAGAAAAGCCAAATCAAGCATTACCCAAGACGAGTGTCCTTGCAAGCAGCAAAAATAGAAACAAACACTAGGTACGCTGAATCTGATGTTGAATTCTGACTAGAATTGCAACACCAAACAGTAGATTCCTCTCATTTCTGGCAAAGAGATTAAGGTGATAGGCCCTTCAAGACCAGAATATGGTTCACAGGGGAACAAAGAGACCATATAAACTCCAGATAAATCTGTCTGCAACAAGAACCTTGACAGGAGACAAAAGTATTTTCAGACAAGATAAGTATGCTCACAAACAACAGCAACCCTGAACTTTGTTTTGTTGCAGCTAATCATATGTTTTTATTCAAGAATGAAGCAGCATAATTATGATCATCCCATTTCAGATACTGCATCTTCAAATAAAGTTTCTATTTCCTAATGTGAAAGCTTACAGTCACAGCAGATGTTGAAAATAAGTTGCTCAAGCTCTCTATTACCATCTGTACTACCACATGGGCAGTAAACACATGTGCCACACTGACGATATGACTAGGAAGGCCTCGATTTGTACTTTCGTAAGTGGTAACTAATTCCATTTCCCAGGGCAGGTTGAATGGCATAGAGCTGTCTTTCTTATCTTTTAGCAAGGGTGGACAAAAACTAGAGGGGAAGGAAAACTCTGCAGTCTCAAACTGTTCTCAAGTGTTCAGAATTATGCTAAGAAAATGCACTGTCTTTGTAAGTATCAGAGAGGAAAAATGAATGATCTAAACATGCAGTACGTAGTAGACTGAGATAAAGTGAAAATGAACAATGAAGAGACAGTAGGACAACATGGTTCCTCCACACCTCCTTAGTCTGCTTTGTGTGTACACAAAACAGTCTTACAGTACAGTAGCTTTCAAATTAATTCATTACGTTTGAGGCACACCTGTTGACAGTGAGCCTTTAAGAACTGGGCCATGCGCAGTAAACAGTCTGGACACCAAATTCAAGATACAGGTAACTATTTAGTCATTTGGGGAAAGTGACCACATAGCTGGAAAGGCTCTACTAAGAGTGAGCTTCAGGCCAGAAACAACAGAAAAAAACTGAAATTAGGACTGCAGATTAAGTTAAATGTCATTAAGCTGAAAGGAGAAAAGTCATGTTTTTCCAAGGACAGGCAGGTATACAGTACTGATGGAACCGCACAAAGGAATTAAGTCTCCTGGCCACATTCAGAAAAATCCTGGTGCTTACAGGGAAAGAGCTGTGACTGAGAAGCCCAATCATAAACAGAGGAACGGAAAAGTAAATGAAAGGTTTAACTTTTACTGAAAGACAGAACAACAACTCAGGACTTCCCTATAAAACAAGAATGTGTTTTGTGCTATGCACGATTTGAAGTTGTCTTGAAGGTCTTGCTATTAAGTGACGACAGTCTTTATTACCTTAGCAAGGATATGTTTGTCCTTTATTATGTACTCATAAGTAGTTAAAAGAACATTAAATTTTCCACTTCGAAGCTGAGGAACAAGTGAGCGGCGCATTGCAGGTGTACCCTAAGAGAAAGAGAGAAGTGAGTAGTTACTCCTTCATCTGATGAAGAAAATGTATCATTTTTATGAATTAGGACAGAGCAACCACATGCACTTGTAATCTCACAGTACTGCAAACGATATATCAATGCATTCCAGGCTTCCTCAGAGTCTAGACAGTTGCTAGACTGCAAACTCTGTTTATGGGGCACTGGAAACATGTATCTACCAGTCTAGTCTCCTTAGGAATTGCTTGGCCACACCACTGCTACAGTAGCCAAACAGTAAAGTACTCAGCTGTATATAAAATGTGAAGTAGTTACCATTCGTATTATTCTCATCAGAAGCCTTGCAGTGTGATAATTAACAATTTTATTCTGCATTTCACTTGTGAAAGTAATTACAGTTTATTACAGTCATCTTCTTATCATGATTAACTCTCACTGCTTAGTACCTGATATACATGACAAAAATTCACAAGCAAACAATTTAGAAATACATGCAAAGGCAGAGGAAAAACTGGCTCTATCCTCATTCCTTCAACTCTGTAATCATACAAAAAGCAAATCAAACCTTGTAAGATATCTTCACCACAGAAGGAGCCCATTTGTCAAATTCATATGTCCAATTGGATAAAGTCCTATCATAGAGATTATAAAGAAAAAGTAATATATTTCATCATTTGCAGGTCAAACTTTATAGATGTTTCCAAGTGGTTGCCAACTTTTCAACACATTTCATGTAATCAACCCCCATAATTAACAGTGTATTTAAAAAATGCACTTTATATACTGCAATAAAATACAAGCATCTCTGACAGGGGAGGAAATAGAAACAAGTGTGAAGCCCTCTTTCAGCTCATATTCAGGGACATCTTTGAAATCAATTCAGAACAGTATTTTATGTGCATCTTTGTATTTTGGAGCATAATAAGGATAAGAAAGATAACCCTCAACAAAAAATCTCATAAGTTCCTTTATACCACTTATCATCCAAACACTGACATTACAACTTTTCAAATACAGCCTCATGAAGTTCATAGTTGAATCCATCTGTGTTCTACTTGAGTGGAACTACTTATAGTGCCACACAGTGACACTCTGCAGGTCCATTTTTGCACTGTGTTTCTGCTGTTTGATCACAACAAACAGTTTTTAGGGCTAAGCTAGTTGCTATCATGATAGAGCTGCAAAATATAATCTTGAGGTTTTTCGTTGTTTGCTGGTTTTTTTTCCCCTCTCCCTTACCAGACCTGTGATGGCAGCGGTACTAGCTATTAAGAAAAGTTAAGGAAAGGCAGTTTTTAAAATTAAGGAAAGAAATTTCAGTTCCTCTCTTTCAGAAACATCAGAAAAATCATTACAGAGTACTTCAAAGAAATCTGACTTTTTTACTTTGCCTGTGTGAATTCTGATGTTAAGAACACTCTCCCTTTTTTTTTTAATCTTTGTTTTACTTTATAGATCATCTCCCAGCCATTTCTTTTCACACTAGAGCTCATCATATGTATTCATACAATTGGGCACAGCTGTGATATTTATGTTAGTCTATCAGTTACTACTGCAGCAGTACTACCTCAAAAGAAATCAAAATAGATGTCCATGAATAAAACTTTTCCCAATCCTACAACACGTTTGCATGTTCAGCACAACTGGTGGACAAATTTTCTGATGAAAAAGCTAGGGAACTTCTGTACATCAATCAAGTCACTTACACACAAAAATATGCAAACAACCTTTCAATATCCTACATCAGTTTTAAGATGCCTGACAGTTTTTATTTAAAACACAGCACTTCACTAAAACCCACACTTCACCTTTGGAGAAAGGAAAATGCATTAAGAGAGATGTGTAAAACAAGCAGCATCTTGGAGAGCTAAGAAAAAGCCAAAGGGGGCACCACAATAAACAGTCATAATCTAGACACCTGATCGAAGTGTGAATATCACTCATCAAGGCTACATCCAGGGCTAGTTATACAGTACACAAAAGATCATCCAACCTCACTGAAGCATGATTACTTGGTGTCAGATAGGGTAACAGCTGTTTAAAAAATGAAGCAACAGATTTTTTATATCAAAGTTAAAAGTTAAACGGGCAACTGCAGGCATGTAATATGAAAGAAAATATAAAAGAAATATTATCCCCCTCTTGTGGCTTAAAAGTGAATTACAGTAAATTCACTAAGTGCCAAAAAAGAGTGGACCGTGAAACTAAGGGAATCAAGTGCTTCATCAGCCTTCTGGTCACCCTTCCAATGCCAGACATCCACCTGGGAAGAAACGATCCAAGAAAACACTGAATACATGCTCAGTGTAATCCCACTGTGCACCTCGCCTTGTAATTACATGAAAAACAAGTGTGTGTTCCGAATAAACCAGCCTGACATGCTTAGAGTGGTAATAGCAGAAAAAGATCCTTTACTTACGAAAGGGGTACAATGATGAGATAGGGGCCATTGAGTCTTTTGTGCTCCATCAGGTATGTGATGAGTGCAATAGTTTGTATGGTCTTTCCTAATCCCATTTCATCGGCTAAAATTCCATTCAGATTGTTATTATAAAGTGAAACCATCCATTCCAGTCCCTGGAGCTGAAATGAAGCACAATAGTTTCAGTTATTTAAAAGACACACAAATAATCAGCACCAGTACTACAGAACCAAGGTTCTGATGTCCTTGTCTACTTAGACTCCTTTATAATACTATATGCATAGGGATCCCTGGATATCTTAATGCCTTCCACCTCAGAAAACAAAAACAAAAACAAAACAAAACAAAACCAAAAAAAAATCAAATCAAAAAAACCCCACAAGATAAATTTCTGGAAACAGCTATATGGAAATCATCACTGATGTTTAACAGAGCCCATAATATGAAGTCAGATTTCATACATAGAGGTTTTTGTGTACTGCACACAAAGCAGCAGAAGCACTCACAGGCAACCTTGATAAATACTTAACAAGAGTTTGTCCTTCCATTTCAATACTGTCAAATGTTAAACTTTCTGCGTATATTTCATGCCATTTGCCTGTTTCAATTAAAATCTTTCAAAACCAAACCCATCACATCTGTGCAAAAGATGTAAGCCTCACGCTTGCCAACTGCATCACTGGTATGTTAAACACTTGCAGCACATGTCCATTTAGTGTCTGCTGTCCATACGGCCATATCAGAGTAAGGCCTCTTTGTCCAGTTATGCTTGAGTATAAAATTCCAGAGCTGGAAGGAAGCCAGAGTACTGTAGCTAAGAAATGTCTACATAACAGAGTTTCACACTCCAAGGAGTACTGCTAGAAGGCACTGACTCAGATTATTCCCTTGTCACACCAACTTCCACATATGCGTGTATCACATTACTCATAAAAGCGCAAAGCAAGTTCTTGCTCCTAAGATCCAGACTTTTGGCATGTCTCATGCATGGAGAGAGAAGTAAATTAAGAGGCCTGAGAAAGTTCAGAGAGAAAACACCACATGCCTGAAGTAACATTTTGCTGTCCTTGTGACAACATATCCAAAATGTTGCCAATTTACTGGCTTTATACACATGTTGACTCATTTGTATTTATGTATTAAAGAGTTGATCACCACCAAGAGTTGATCAAAATTTGTTCTGCAACTGTATGTGCCACAAAGTAGCTTCAGAATTGAGAATAGGAAAACTGTCTTTTCGACATCATTGAACTTTCTCCACTGACATATATCAATATGAAGGAAAAGACAATCTGACCAAACCTGATAGTAAGAAATATGGAAAAGTAGAAAGAGAGTCGAGAAAGAAAAAGCACGTAAAATCTGGAGGACGTGGAAACACAGGGAGTAAAGGGGAGAGTCGCAGAACAGTCTCCTTCAGAATATTCTTGCAAGAACCAAAGCCAAGCCTCAATGTTCCTGACGTAACACTCCTTAGACAAGTGTGCCTCTTACTGCTGGTGCAACTACGATATAGAACAGACACCACAAAGAACAAATCTACTTTCAATTGCCAGATAACACACTGAGCAGCTAAAGGATCTGCTCTAATTGGTAATCCCTGTGAGTAACTCCACAGACTGAATTATTTTGCTTTGTGACACACCAGGAAATTGCATTGCAAAACATGGATCCGCATAATTTAAGAATATTTCTAAGTTCCATAAGTACTTACAGTTGAGGAAGCAAGGGAATTATCACAATCTTATTTTCCCATCCATGAGCACTTTAAGTCAATATGGCCATCAAAATAGCATTGTTATACACTATTAATTTAGTACATCAGGTAAACCTTCCCAGTCAATGAATTGGGAGAACGCAGTAAGAAGGCTGGTAACTGCATCTGTTGGCTCCCTGCTTCACTGGGTGCACAAGCTGGACAACACATTGACAATGAAGCAGCAAAAATAAAGAGGGTGTCACAGCTAAGAAAGCGGCACATACAGTTGGATTCTGTCTTGTCTTAGTCACGGCGTTTCTCAATGGTGTCAGAAAAGTTACTAAGCCTATCATGTTCAAAATCAGTCCCTGAGTGACAGGTTCCTCTGTTCATTGAGGGCTTGCAGTGAGACACCAAGAAGTGCTAAGGATTCAGAACAGAATTCAAATTCAGATGGAGTTTTGCTATGAACAAGTAAGATCACGGATTATTCAGTTTGGAACAGACCTCTACGCCAATCCCGTGCCCAAAGCAGATCCAGACGTGGGACCAGCTTGCTCAAGGCTTTATATGGTCAGCAATTGAAAACTTCTCTGAACCCTTGCTCCACAGTGGTGCTGTCCTCTTCTTTACACCCAGTCTAAACACTCTTGTTTCAGCTTTTGTTCATTGTCTCATCTTCCCACAGTGAGGAGCCCAGTATAAAAATACTAAAATGCTTTGAAAAGAGAAATCAGCTTAACTCTTGAATTTTAAATTATTTAAACAAGCTATTGTGACAGATGGCAGTGCTGAGGAACGTAAGAAGGAGAGGCTGCAATCATAATGCTTGCAACACTTAGGAAACAGTCTTCTTCCTAGTTACCTACAAGCAGAAATAGATACACATCTTTAAGACATCTTGGTGAGTAAGTATATTCTTCATTTTATGTTGATGTAGAAATAACATTCTGACTGCAGAAAAGATGCAGGTTCTTGGAGTTTCCTAGAAAGCTGTAAAACAGCAGAAGTGTTGAAAACATGTACCAAGGATATTTTCAATCATACATGGATCGAACATATATCAGAAAATCAGAAGTTCCTGACAGAGTTAAATCTGGCCAGGGACATC